GGCCTGTGGTGCTGCTGCGGGACTGTTCAGAGTGAGGGTGGTGAGGCATTTCGTTGGTCTTTCCCCAGCCAGGAGAAATGCAAGGCGCCAAGGAAGGGTGATGCTATAGCCTGTGCCTTTACAGCTGCACTTAACGGCAGCTCTGCTAAGCCACGAGCTGGGACCATTTCAGAGTGAGGGTTTGTGCAGCTCGTAAAATCCCTCTCCTAGTGACTGGCAGCACTACAAGGCAGCTGTTGAGGGACCGAGTGATGTAGGACAAGTGCCTTCACATGAAGTTTTTATAACCTGTAAGGTGCCTTTGCCTGCCAGCACCTGGGGCCATGCACCTGAATGCAACAGACGGGCATTTAAGTCGGGTTTGAGGAGCTTTCTGTCTTCCTCTGCCCTAAGCTTGGTGCAGAAAGCTGCTTGGAAATCTGGCAAGGAATATATTGCCATCTGGCTAGTCTTGTGTTTTTTACTCTAGATTTATTTTTTCCCCCAGCACTACAGAAAAGGACAGCTTTATGCACACGGACGCATTTCAGCCATGTCTCGGGCAGCCGGTAGTGTTGGGTAAAGAAGCTCATTCCCGTGGCAGGCTGGAAGTCTGTTCCCGTATATTCCTGCTCCCAGGACCTGGGGTGTAGGCTGCTGCCCTGTTCATTTCCATCAAAAGCTGCCGTGACCCCACGATGGGTGACGGGTCTCCAGGGTGGGCAGTTGAGGCTTGCTGAGCCTCGCACAGGGTGAGCGGGGCCTGAGCCAGTGGTCTGTGGAAAGGTGTTACCACGTCCAGCCCTACTGCCAGTCCCTCAGCAGAGAGCTACTCCCCACCTGGCTCCTTTGCACCTCTTTTCCCAACTCACTCTTTAAAACCATCCTCATCGCAACTTGTTGGGTTCTCCAGTGTCTTCCCAGCGCTGTGGCCTTCCCTGTAGTGGCTGATATAAAAGCCCTTTCCTTTGCTTCTGGTGCTTTCTCATGTGTTTCCTTCCAAATCCTGGCTGGAAAGCTTCTTCTCCTTGTTCTTTCTCCAGTGTTGCCTTGTTGCTGTCTGCTGTATCGGGTGGAGAAAGGGTAGAGGCCTCACATTAGCGATGTGCTGCGCAGCCTCATCCATCCAGCTGGGTCTTGCTGCAGTCCCTGCACTCAGTTGATTTGCAGGACTGATGATTACTTGTGGATTTTAGTGCTTTGCTGAACTGGAGCTGGATTTAAAAGAAAGCTGCTTGTTCCAAAGAGCCTTGCATTTCTCTGATCCTTCAGCTTACGTGCCTGTTGTGGAAGCTCTCATGCCTGTTTTTACATTTTCTGTCTCAGTAGTTCTCAAGCCCAGCCTTGACGCTGCAGTTAGGAGCAGCCAGGACTTTGATCTGTTTGTCGATGAGGCCTCTGAATCCATAGTCTGATGTGGTTTCTTCTTGTCCCTGTTCTGTCCCCCAACTTGTCCTGCTGCAGCTGGACATGATGGCTGCGAGGCCGAAAGTGTCTGTAGGCATGAACGATGTGAACCGCTAACGAATGTGAGTGTAGCAAAGCCCTGGCCAGCCCGCACCGTGCTGTGAGCACCAAAGAGGATTGTATGTGCCTGTACCCACCAGGCCCTCTGTGTAGTCCACTTGTTCTACTGGAAGGAGGATGGCTGGCTTGGCTTTTGCTTCACGCCCCATGGCAGCTTTTATTTGCTGGTGTTTGCCCAGGGCTGGCGTTGCATTTTAGCGTGGTCCAGCTGTTGCCCCAGGTAGGGGACTGCAGGCGCTCCTTGGTCTCTGCTTCCATCTGCTGGACAAGCACTGGCTGCTGCTCTCTCCCGTTTTCCCTTGGTGCCTCAGGGATTTTGCCAGCTCCTTTTAAACTATACTCATGTAATACTACAGATGGAAATCCCTTTCATGCAAGTATTGACTGCAAGAAAATTTCAGTGTTGAACCACTGTCTTTGGCAAGACTTCTGCGCTAGAGTAAATGGCAACAAGCCTGGAGATAGCCGAGCGCAGGACATGCGGTGCAGCAGTGTGTAGCTTCCTTCTGTGCAGGCAGGCCTGCGGGCTGAGGCCTCTGGTTTGTATTCGCAAGAAAGTCAAGTATCAATGAGTGTTGCTTGGATGCCACATGAATGGCCAGTGTGGGTCAGGCCAGAGGTTCAGCCATTGCAGTGCCATCTCTAAAAGTGACCACAGCAGATGTTAGAGGAAAGTATGTAAAAAAAAACTGGGCAGGAAGGACATGGTGCTTTCCTTGGACAACTCCCTCACATCTGACAGTCAGGGATGTGGGAACATCTTGGGCTGAGGACTTCAGTGAGACCTTCCTATTTAACAGTCCCAGTTGTCCTTCATGAGCTCATCTGAACCTCTTGGTTTTGAACTCTGCAGCATCTTGAGACAGTGAATTTAACTGCACGCTGTGCAAAAAGCTCCTGCTTTTATTTGTTTGAGAGCTGCTGCTACCAACTTTATCTGCTAAATCATGGGAGCACCTGGAGCAGGCCTAAGCATTACTTGTACTCTTTGACTCCTCTGCAGTTATTTCTTCCTTCATGAGGACAACAACAAAAGTGTCCCTCAGAGTTAGACATATTTGGGAGAGCTGGAAGGAAGAGGGTTGCTACTGTTGAGGGTCATGAACAGTCTGCTCTGCTCAAGAGTGCTCCGGTTGTTTTCATCTGACAACAGAAATTTGGCCACTGCAAAGGCATTTCCGTAACCTTCCCTTAACCTCTGCTCAGCGGTGGGCAGACACAGGCAGAAGGTTCATTTCAAGCAAAAAATCCCCATCCTGTTCTCAGGACATTGTGCAGTGCAGCCTATAGACCTTCCTGTAAATGTTGCTTGATTTACATGTTGGCTGTTCGTCTGTGCACGTTTAAGCTAAAGAGTGCTCTGTCCTCCAGATGTGTGATGACTGATGTAGTCTTTGTGCCGTCAGGTGAAGGCCTGGACACAGAGGTTTGACCTCTCTTTGTTGCGGTTTACAGTACAGCATCTGGATGTTAGAATTTCTTTAACCAGGTCACTAGATTCTTTCTGAGCTGTTACATTGCCTTGACAAAGGGTATGTTGTGTTGCTCTGTTTGGGGATAGCGGTGTTTTATTTCATCTAATTAACAAACATCCATTTAGCAATAGTCGATGAAGGTGCTGGCTTGAAACTATTTATTTTCCATTTGAAAATCCTGATATTAATTTTTACTAGGGCCAGTATGTTTAGAGTAAATCTGCAGGGCATCCCCTTATTCATTTCTTTCACAAAAATACTGTGGTCATGTAAAAACAAGACCTGCTTTTCTCCTCCAACTAGGCATGGGCGGTTACCACCTGTGAGACTACCTGGGGAAGCATGGCCAGAGTGTCTGGGCTCTACATCCTGTGTTTTTGCAATTTGGAAGGACAGACTTTTCTTTTTTCTTTTTGACATTAGGTTCCCAGCCAGCAGGAGGAGATGTCACCATCGTCGCAGCTCCAGAGAATACCACAGTGGTGGCTGGGGAGAGCGTGGTGATGGAGTGCATGGCAGCTGCCGATCCCACCCCCTTCGTCTCCTGGATACGACAGGGTGAGTGTGAGGGACAGAATTAAGCTTTTGTTGTCAGGAGGAACCTGTGGACAGCTTATTTTTAAAATCTGTTAAAAACCAGAAAAATCTGTGGGACAGAAACGGTGCTTGTTATGTTGGTACCTAATGATGCAGGCAGTGTCACAGTGTAGGGTATCCTTGCTAAACTGGAATTACTAATTAAATCTAGAAGGTTACAAAGCAAGCAACTCACTTTATAGCTGTTTGACCTGTGAAATATATGAAGTTCTAGTGCCTGGATGCCTTTTGATCTAAATTAGTCATCCTCATTGTATGAGCTTGAGCAGTGAAGGTCATGAGACGGTGTCAGGTCTATACCACTCCTCTGGGGACTCAGAGGGTAGTGGGAATTCTGTGTAATCTGCCATTGCACTGGAGAAGTAACTTGTATTATTTTGCGGGATTATAAAACATGGTAAGATCTGTTAATCGTTGGAGCGGCTGGGAGTGTTGCTGGGAGGTTTTTATTCGAAAAATCTTACTGTGGTCAGATTGGTAACGGAAGGATTGAGAAGATGCTTAGGTCTCGTCAGAGGTGTACAAGTGAGCCAGACTGGCATACATTACCCAGGGCTGATAGCCTAAATCATGTGTAGAATGCTAATGTCACTTCACCCAGTGTCACATCCATCAGATGTATTTCAGAGGCTCTGACTGAAGACTTTCTCAGCTCAGGAGTCAAATCTCCCTCAGAAGAGGCTCTCAGTCATTTTCATAAATCTGGGTCACGATTTAAGACTCCTTTCCCCTGTAACCATTTATTGTGGTTGGTCTTCAGCCCAGACTTGTCCACAGGCAGTGATTTTAGTGTATATAAATATTTCCTCTTCCCCACAAAAAAGGAGCGAAAATATCTCAGAGGATACAACTTTGGAAATCTAATCAGTAAGGAACAAATCTTTGGGCAGAAATGTTTCTGCTTTGTCCTGTGCACTTCACAATTACAAATACTCAGCTTTCCCATGCTAGATCACTTACTGCTTTACCGAGACCTACTAATGCCTATAGTAGAGCAGATATTATTAGAGTTAATTATCACTATGAAAGTTTTTTGGATGGGGGAAGAAGAGGAAGAAGGGGGAAAGGATGGTGAAACAGTTCCTTGCATGCTTTATTTTCAAATGTTTGCTTGGTCCCCCTCTGCTTCCTGGTGTGGACTCTTCAGTTAGAAAAGATGGTTTAAAAGTGCAATTCTGTGTTAAACAAGCCTGTTTCTTTCCAAGACGTCATTAAGGAGCAGGCTGGGTTACTGGGCGATTAGTCATGTAGGTAACACTGAGGATTGTACCACCAGGTTGCCAGTTTGGCTCTTGCCAGCCTTGGTGGTGTCAGCTAATTGCTACCATCTGGAATCAGATTTTCAAACTGCTCCAGTACAAGTGGGGTGCACAGATTTACTCCTCTGAGCATGCAGCCACTGAACTGTGAGGCCACCTGAAGACCCCCAAAAATGGATGGAGGGGTCAGAGGGTCTGATTTCAGCTGCGTTCCCTGCTGATGGTGCTAAGTAGGTGCAGCTGCACACAGTGGAGGTGGAGAGCTTGCTCCTGTCTCAAGGTACAGGCTCATCTGAATCCGTGAGAGGCAAAGGCAGGCGAGTACTGAGTTTTTGCTGTCTGAAGGACATCCATGCTTCTGCAGGTGGAGAGGGACAACGTCTGGTGTTGTGCAGGTACTGCACAAATGGGCTGGCTCTCCCACTCTGCTAACTTGTGCCAGAGGTGGCCATGGATTCCTGACCTCCCATCTGAGCCTTTCCTTGGCCGGACTGTCCTTGCCGATACTCTGTCCCCAGCTCTTGGCTTTGCTCACCCACACTCATTCAGTGGTACCACCATCATGGTCCTCGTGTTTCTCACATCAGAGCAATGCTGAGAATAAACAGTACCCAGCACCAACCTACTGCGTGACATGTGGAGGAGCGTAGGGCTATTTGAAGTTGTAGAAGGATGGCTCAGCTTCTGGCTAGGGGGCTGGAGCCACCCTTTCCTTCTTCCCTACTCAGCAGTGCTGAGCATCTAGCCAGAAGAATGGGGAGAGGGCAGCTTGTGACCCAGGTCTCTGACCCGAGCACCAGAGCCCCAGGGAGAATGCCGTCCTGATACCTTACAGATCAGGAGCCAAGCTGGGGGCAAAGAATGAATCGGGAAGCTCAGTAAATTTGGTTTCACATCAGGAACACAGAGAAGGGAAGAACCCCTGAGTTGTTAGTGATTCGGTGCTCTTGCTGACATTTGCATTATCGAGTGAGGGGAGGAGGTGTGTGTGTTCGTGCATGGGGGTCAGCGGGCAGATCCAGCAGCTTTTCCAAAACCTGTGTTAGCATAGCTTTCCTTTGAATGTGCTATTCCTAGGGGCTCTCATTGCAGGCACACCCTAGGCATCAGAGACTGTTTTGATCCAAACCAGAACTTTTCCAGTTATTACAGGCTAAACTAAACCTTGGGCCAATGTTGGCTTGGGCTGGCTGACACTCAGTCAAGCACTGAGGAATGTCCCAGCAGGAATCCTCCTCCGGGCTGGGGGTTGGGATTTTGGGGTCTCTCTGCTCCCCAGCTGTGATCCTGACTCTGGTAGACACGTTGTTTACAAGCCCTCCTAAAGGGCAGCTTGGGGCTCCCTCTCACATTTGTGCACGTTTCTTCCTGCAGATGGAAAGCCTGTTTCCACAGATGTGATAGTGCTGGGCCGGACAAATCTCCTCATTCCTTCCAGCCAGCCCCATCACTCAGGGGTGTACGTCTGCCGTGCTAACAAACCGCAGACCAGGCAGTTCGTTACAGCCGCAGCTGAGCTCCGGGTTCTTGGTGAGTAGAGAGCAGGATAAACGCTCCAGGTAGAAACCCTGGCCAGGTAGCTGTGGGTTACCTGGACCGACATCCAGGAGATCCCTGAGAAGTTGTGTTTGTGGCCCATGCTGGGTAAGATGGGAGCCAGGTTAGAGCCAGGAGGCCCTGGGTTGGGATAGCTCTCGGTGGGAGTGTCACCTCCTTAATTTGGGGTTTAGTTCCTTGTATTTACTGAACCATTTTATGCCTTATTCTTATTCTCCAGGGTTCCCCCACGGAAATCTCTATCAGCAATTAACTTTCAGTATCATGGAAGCCAGCAGGGAGAACAGCCTAGGATCAGGGAACGCAGCACATGATTGATACAGAATTTATTTTTCCTTTTGGACACAGTCTAAATTAAGCCTCTAGAGTCTGCCTGGCAAATCCTATCTTGTAAGCAAAGCTGCTACTGAATAAAACATAGCACTGAGTGGGGAGGAGAAGGGATTTGCTTTGCTATCTTTTCCTCCTCCTTCCTGCATTAATTTGTCCTCTCTCCTTCCAGCTACACCCAGCATCTCCCAGGCTCCAGAAACCATCTCTCGCACCCGAGCCAGCACGGCTCGGTTTGTCTGCAAGGCGGAGGGTGAGCCAGCCCCAACCATTCACTGGCTGAAGAACGGCGAGGCCATCCTCTCCAATGGGCGGGTGAAGGTGCAGAGCAGCGGGAGCCTTGTGATCAATCAGATCGGGTTGGAGGATGCTGGCTACTACCAGTGCGTGGCTGAGAACAGCTTGGGCATGGCTTGTGCCACTGCCAAGCTCTCGGTGATTGTGCGGGAGGGTTTGCCCAGCGCTCCCAAGAAGGTGTCAGCCGTGTCCCTCTCCAGCACCACAGTCCTTGTGTCGTGGGAGCGGCCAGAGTACAACAGCGAGCAGATCATTGGCTTCTCCTTACATTACCAGCGGGCTGCGGGTAGGTGTTACCTGCCTTGTGCAACACAGCTGTGTCACAGGTTCAAGACACAAGGCACAGGTTAACTTTCTTTCCCAGCTAGGGACAAGTGTGAGGCAGTTCCAGTTTAGCCCTTTTCATAGCGGGTAAAGAAATTTTCTCCTGGAGTCAGCATCAGCCTGTGACAGTGCCTGTGGATTAGCTGACATATGCTAACTTGTTGACCAGCAGTAGCATATCCATGTAGCTGAGTTGTCAGGATTCTAGTGGGACAAGGCACATCTGGAATTTATTTCTATTTTTTATTTTTTCCTCCAACACATTGATTTTATATGCAAAGAATGTGATTATTAATGGAGGTATTAAACAGCCATATTGTGTAAAGGGGTAATCTCTAAATTATTCACACTCAGAATCTGAAGTAAGGCACTCAGGTCTCTTGGGGTCTGTCTTCCCAAACAGACAGCAAACCAATACTCTTGCTGAACTGTTTTCAGAGCTCCTCTGAAAATTAAGCTGGTAACTTCAGCTGCCTTAGCATGGATTAAGGAGCTTGAGTCAAAGTGGAGATGTGAACATTAAGGCATTGAATTTTTCTGCCCAAAGAATTCACCTAAGAGATGGGGTTTGTGCAGATACTGGGGAAATTGGAGAAGACATAGTCATTTTTAAGATGGATTTACACTATGGACTTTGTTAGTCAAGTGATTTTTTGAGGAGTGTCTTGGCAGTTCACTGACCTGCTAATCAGTGTTTCCTTGGCTCTAGGAACAGATAACGTGGAATACCAGTTTGCTGTCAATAATGATACCACTGAGCTGCAAGTCAAGGACCTAGAGCCCAATACCAACTATGTCTTCTACGTGGTCGCATATTCTCAGCTTGGAGCCAGCCGGACATCCTCTTCCATTATTGTTCAGACCCTGGAGGATGGTGCGTTGAATTAGATGGGTACTGGTGCCTAAAAAATGTTCTTGACCTGTTTCATGGTTAGCATTGAATATGCTATGGGGAGTACTCTCAGCTCCTAGAAAGAAGCCCTTTTAAAAAAACTAAACAACAAACTAACCAAAACCAAAGCACCCTAGTCTGACAGTCAGCTTGGGTGATGGAGATCGTGAAAATGGTCTTACTGACACTGGGACCCCTAGGAATCCTGTGGGAACTGCAGTCAGCCCCTCTGGGCTTTCACCTAGCAAATGTGATATTGCTCCAAACTTGACTTTGGGCCAAACCTGATATCAGCTCCAAAGAAAGACATCTATTGCGATTTGTAGGGTTGGGATCCCTTAAGAGCAAATAGTCTGTGTTGATTTTACCATTTGTCACGTAGCATTTTGCAAGCAGTAAAGGCAGAGTGCCAGAAGGACAGCTGCCCAACAGGGGAGGACTTGTACAGCTTTCAACAGACTGCAGGACAGAGGCAAGAAGTGATGGTTTTGGCAGACCTCGTGCAAGCCCCTGCTATGCTGCAGGGTGCATTATGTGCTTTTAATACTCCTGACATAGTGAACTGTATGGTCCCACGTGTATGTGTCTGAAGCCTGAAAAGCTGACTTGAAAGCATGAAAGCTGCCTGCAGCACAGAGCTGTGATTCTCAAGGGAATGGGGATTCCCGGACTGAAGTCTCTCAATCTATGAGCCATTTCCTTTAGCGTCTCCTTTGTGCTCCACAGTACGGCACAGGCAGATTAGCCGGTCTGTGCCAACCTGCCCAGTTTGCAGTGCACACGGGGTCCCTAGGGAGCAATGCAGTGTGGGCAGCAGGCTCTGATCAGGCTGTTCAAGCTGAGCAGCCCACCATCTCCCCTCCCCAGACACCCCACCGATGCTCTGAGCCGCTGAGAAGCTGTGGGGTATTGGTTCCCGCGGGGACAGACAGCGTGTCGCCAGTGACTGGGCAGGGCCAAGACCAGGTAGTGGCCCCCAGCCAACTCAGCTGGCAGAGGTGTGTTGAGGTCTTGCCCCAGTCTTTGTTGACTTCTTGATGTTGCTTCTACCCAGTTCCTAGTGCTGCCCCTCAGCTGTCCCTGTCGAGCATGACTCCTGGTGACATCCGTGTGACATGGCTGCCTCCTCCTCCAGAGCTGAGTAACGGCAAGATAACGAAGTACAAGATCGACTACTGCACCCTCAAGGGAGGTGAGGGAAATGCCATTTGGGGGAGAGGGGGGGGATGTGTCTTCTGCTCCAGCAGTCCTGTTGAGGGGAGGAGGTGCAAGGCTGAAAACAAAGGAACCCCTTTTTACCCAGGAGAGAACAGCCCTCTCAGCCTGGCTCTGCTGCTGTTGGTCACAGCAGTGCCGGTGTGGTGCTACTTCACAGTATTCCGAGATGCCTTTTTCTGTGATTGTGAAGAAGCCTGTGTCCCCAGGGGAATGGCCTGACGCTTGCGTATTTGTGCTGGCCCATGAACATCTGCATGAGCAACCCTTTGGTGCCATCTGCACGGTGTGTTTTGGGGGGAAGAGCTTTATGATGGTTGGGGAAGAAGGGTAAATGCATTTGATTCCTTTAAAATGGAATCTAAGCAAGTGTCCAGGCCAGGCCATATTGCTCTATTGCTGAGTTTTGACCGGTTTTATTTATATTGTCAGACACTGTGAGAAGCCTTCAGCAGGGATGGTAATGTTTACCTATGCTGCATGCAGCTGTTCCACTTCCACGTGTGCTTGCTTTGCAAATCCTTCTGGGTATTTGCTCTTAAAACCGTCAAAGCTCTGCAGCTTCTCACTTCCCAGGGTCATGATTCTTACTAAGAGAAGGATGGGGAGTGTGATGAAGTGCTGGACATGTTCCCCTGTGTTTGATCTGTATTAGTAGTCTGTGCTGTGGCTCCTGGCTCTTGGTTTGGTTTTGTTTTGTTTTGTTTTGTTTTTCCTGAGCCTGTACGTGGCTCTGTGGCATCGTAAAAGCTTGGAAACGTTTGCAGTCCAGGGATCACACTCAGCAATATGCTGTTACATAGCAGGGACAGCACTCCCAGCTGAGCTTACACCAGGTGAAGCTGGAAAGCGAGACCTCTGCATTCACCAAACACGCAAAATGAATCTTCAGCAAGATCAATTAGTTGTTATAGTGAAAGTTGCAGGCCATTGTCAGTTTAAATTTCCTGTTATCTCCCTTATGAACTTGGGTGGGCTGAAGAGGGAGCGATAAAACCTCAGTCTGGCATGGGGGAAGGTGTGAATTTTGCAGAAAGTAGCACTGCTGGACAGTTCTGTTTCAAATTAAGGGGAGGATTTAAATACAACAATGAGAAGCACTGGAATGTATCATCATCTACCATCGGCTGCACTCATGTTCTGCCATCACGTCGGCAGCAGTAAGGTTTCTGACAGCTCCCCTCCAGGCAGGCTCAGTGGTGCTGAAGGCAACTTGCAGTTTTGAATGTGATGAAGGGGGTTGCCAGTCAGGATATCAGCTCCACCCAGTCTTTAGTTCTCATTTTTCCTGGTGGCATGAGACTGCACTGGGCAAAGCCAAGCTGGTCCAGGGCATGCAGACCGCATGGGGGTAGCTGGGCTTTGTTGGCTGCTCAGTTGTATTTCTCTTTGACTGCGAAAACCATGTTTTCAATGGTGTCACCTTGGTTCCAGCAGATCAGGTTACCTCCATTGAAGTGGGTGGAAATGAGACACAAATCACTCTCTACTCGCTCCATCCCAACAAAGTATACAAAGTTCGCATCGCAGCCAGCACCAGCGTGGGCTATGGAGCCCCTTCTGAGTGGACCCAGCATCGGACTCCTGACAGAGACAACCAGACACGTGGTAGGAGGCTGAGTGATGCCTGGGATTTGGCGTGGGGTGTGCAGGATATTGGGGAACTTGAGGCGTGACTGGAGATACCTGCTTTCATTAGGGAATTACAACTGTTGGTTTTGGTACCCAACTTCATCTTTCTGTTGAGCAGCCCCTGTATGTCTTGCTGCTTGCCTGGTCCTCCCTTCGTATGCAGCTGTGAAAATTCCTAAAAAAGAAAGAAAGAAACAAACAAAATCCCCAAACCCCAGTGTTACGACAGTTGGGAGTGCATAGACAATTCTTCCAAACACAGCTGAGCCCAAGCCAGGCTCCAGCAGTGGTTAAAGATGGTGTTATGTCAGAATACATTCAGAAATGCCCATAGTGACATTGTTTGTGACATTGTTTTTTCCTGTATCACCTGGCTGGTAAATTCAACACTAGAGTGGAACTGTACCACTCTGTCAGAGAGTAGAGACATCCCACTCACAGGAGAGCCTTTCCTCACACCCCTCACTCAACGCCAAGGAGAGGGAGGATTCAGTAGAGCAGGGAAATGGAGAAAAACATTCAGCAACTTGACTCTTGTCTTTTCTTCTAGTTCCATTTGCCCCAACCGAATTAAAAGTCCGAGCAAAGATGGAGTCTCTCCTGATAACATGGCAGCCCCCAGCCAACCATGCCCAGATATCTGGCTACAAACTCTACTACCGAGAAGTGGGCCCAGAGGAGTCCAGCGATGAAAGTCCTTTGGATGGTGCTGAAGATGAGAGCTGGGATGTAGGACCCATAAAACTAAAGAAGAAAGTGAAGCAGTACGAGCTGACTCGACTAGGTTAGCTGGTTACATCTTCTTAACAGTTGGTGTGGAAACCCAGGGTGTGTCTCTTGTACTTTGTAGCAGTCACGGGGTGCTTCCAAGAGGCTCAGTTATCTGCTTCCCTGCAGATACATACGACCAGGATCGTGTGAGCTTTTTTTAAGAGCACCCAAAATCATTTTTGGAGTGGGACTCCTGGGGCTTGTTCTAAGCAGAGCTTAAAACACAGAAATTTCTGACACCAGTGTAGCAGGGATTGTATTTTTATGAAGGGCTACTAATATACTTAGAATACTCTAATAAGTAGATTTGAATCAATTAGTGTTTTTTATTGTGTCACTATAAAGAGTGCCTAGATTAAAATCTCCAGTGAGGACAATGATCTCTCTTTCCCTGTGTATTTCTAAGAAGCTGCATAAAGGAATGCTATTTGAAATCTATCTCTATTAAAATGCAGAGGTGGGTTGATTCACAGCGTGCTAATTTTGGGTCAGCATTCTCCTCCACCTCCAGGGAAAAGGGATAAGAAGACTGGGTGTCCGTGGCTGGAGAGCAAGTCTGCACCACAGTCAGATCTGCCTGCTGGCTAACTGTGCTTGGTGTTTCCCATAAGGAGTTATGTTTCTAACATCTGATTGTACTAATTAGTTGGTTTGCCCATTGATACAGGATGGAGAGGGAGAAGGGAGTCATGGCAGATGCATCCTTGAAACAGGATTCTGCTTCTTAGAGTTCTTCCATCCCCCTGTTCATGCTTCATCCCTGTTACTGCCCAGTGAGCTGAGACTGTGGGGCGAGTGTTTCTTGTGCTGGTTCATCTTACACGTCTGGCGTATATGTTATGCATGGTGTAAAGGTCAGGCTGCAGCACCTGGAAAGACAGTTTGTGTCATCGCTAAGTAGGTTTCCAGCCATGTTGCAGCCATCCTGCCACTGAGAGGGTGTTAACAGTTATGAGTTTCTCTGAAGAATTTAGGTGTGTAATTATTGCGCTGAGGAAACCACATGTGAACATCATCACGCGCTGCACTAACCACTGGCAAGTCAGTTAGCAGAAGGGCTCGGGAGTAGGCTGAATTGGTTCCAAATGCTCTGGCATGATGATGCTGAGAAGGCTGCTTGTTCTTCTATAATTACTTCCTTAAATTTGGGCATCCATCAAACCCTAATGGTTTCCTTATGATGTGGTGGTTGTGTATCAGCTATCATTGTGTCAGGAAGAGAGTCTCGGGTTTCTTCCAGCCGTGGATGTTCTCTTTTCTCCCCCTTACACTGTTGAATGACATGCTCCTGCACGCGTACAGTAAAGGAAGAGGTCAGGAATCTGGCTGTGCGGAGAAAGGCAGGGGGTCTGGACATAAAAAAAGGAGGAGGAGTGATTGGAATTTAGAAGGGTTTAGGTTTATGGCAGGGAGTTACCCTGCACAGGTACTTTAGTCTGCAGTAGGGGTCTTGTAGGCAGAGTGGGTAGCAGTCTCAGGAAAGGTTGGCAGCCCTAACGTGATCTTGCTGCTGGACACTGGCTGATGGGGAATCAGCTGGGGGGTTTTCCCAGGTCATGGATGTCTGCCTGGGAAGCACAGCAGTGGAAACCTCTTCTAAGATCCCTCTGTAAAAACAAACAAGCAAAATACCCAACACTGTCTCTTGGGCGTATCTCTTGATGTCAGGTTATGGGGGCTGAATGCTGATGAATGGTAGTGGCTGGTGGGAGAGTGAAATTTGCCCAGGCTGGCCCATGGGAGGTGGGATGTTGAAGAGGTGTCACGGCTGAAACCACAAATTGGGTCAAGAGCTTGAAGAGATAAGAATGGAATGGAATGGAATGGAATGGAATGGAATGGAATGGAATGTTCTTTATTTACATAGAATAGAATATTTCAGTTGGAAGGGACCTACAATGATCATCTAGTCCAACTGCCTGACCACTTCAGGGCTGACCAAAAGTTAAAGCAAATTATTAAGGGCATTGTCCTAAATGCCTTCTTAAGCACTGACAGGAATGGGGCATCAGCCACTGCTCTAGGAAGCCTGTTCCAGTGTTTGAAATGGTGTCAGGAAATCCTGGAAATACAAGGCTGTAGCTCAGATGTGGTTGCATACTATGTCAGTACAAAGAAGGTCCAGTTTCACCACTGGAGGCTACGTACTGCTGCAACACAGCCACTATAGACCCCTTGGCTCCACGTCTCTGCAGTGTCACTGAAGCCAAGGCTCTGCCCTTTGTCTTGTCTTGGTCTGGGATGTGATCTGAGAGACAAAACTCCTGTCCCACTGCTTGTTCCTGCAGAGCTCGATTTTGGTTTTCCTTGGGTTTTTTTTCCCAGGAGCGCAGCAGGGCAAGAGGGGAAGCACTTTCTGGGGACACAGCTCCTTTCGAGGCATGCCTCAGACAGAGGTGGACGGGCGTGCAGAAAGCAGCTTCGGACAGAGCTTCTTGAGCACAGTTACCCTTTATTCACAGTGATGGCACAACTATTAAATCGGCAAAGAGCCCTGCCCACGTTTCCCTCCCCTAGTGTCCTGTAACATCAGGCTATGTTTTACATTGCGGTGAGGGTCCTTGTGCTGGTCCGGTGCAAGATTCTTGTGTCTTCTCTTGCACTGGCTGGTCCTGCTACTACAATGGTGCCAGCTTTGTCCACCAGTTCTTCCTCGTCCTTTGCCTTATCCCCAACATCTAGCTTCTTGATTTTGCCTTCAATAATGTCCCAGCTGTCTTCATTTGAGCTCTCTGAAATGAATGAATACATTTCTCCTGCGCTCATGCTAACCTCTGGAGCAAACCATGTCTCCTTAGAGTGATATTGTTAATGATACGCTTTGTATCTTGTCTGAGTGTTATGTGCTGAAATCCTGCGAGAGGTGGGCAGCTGTTCAAAGGCACAGAAGAAATAGCAATTTCATGAGCCCACCAAATCAAAAGGAAGCTGTCCTGAATCACCAGGAGGGCTTTTCTCTGAGAAATTCTCCTTCATTTCCATCTACATTCTAGTAATGGTGTGCAACTACCAGGGCTGTAATTTACATGAAAAATAAATGGTAAGGGTCTGATCCTGTCTTCTACGTTCCCATGAAGGAAAAGTGCATTCCTCTGGGAGGGACTCCGTGGAGATCAGGGTATTTTCCCACTTACGGAAAAGTATGGCATATGGCATCTGGCCAACATGAACACCTTGAAAAACTGAATGAAACAACATATTTAGCGTATTGGATATATTACACAGTCATCCAGAGTAGTGATTTGAAATGACCTGGACTAGATTATTCTGCTTATATTTAATGTATGATGGAATGCAGTGAAATACATCTGTTTTCGTGCTGCCTACTAGCTTCTTGACAGCTTGATAGAGCTTTATGTCTGCATGTTCTAAGAGCTTGAACATCTGGGTCTGTGTACAAAAATTGAAGCCAAGCCTCTGACTGAGAAATCCAAAATAGCCCCTTTTTCAGAATGTGAATTGCTTGATCTTGTAGTAGAGCTCCCCTGGCTTCACATGTAAGTGGCTGCTGTATCGATCCTACCCAGGGATGGAGATGGAGGACTTGCCCTTTCCTTCACTTCATTCTCCAACAGGAGCTGCCCACAGCTGCATCACATCTGTGAGCTCTTCCTCATGGTTTTGGATCACATCATCTGCGATGAGCTCGTGTCCCAGTGAAGCTCAGCCAGGAGGCGGAGTGTGTGTGCTGGCGAGAGACAGGCCGTGGGGTTCTTTGTTCCACCAAGCCCAGTGGTCTCAGCTGTTTGGAAGTTGAGCACCCTTTGGCCTCTTCCCCCTTGTGTGGATTTAAAGCATTTTTCTGTGGCTGGAGAGTGTGGAAATGCAGATCAGGCTGCCTTGGAGGCAGACAAAACTCTGTTTGCTTTTGGGATTCTTTCAGGGAGAAAAATGTGGCTGAACTGTTTTTATATTCTGAGCGTGAACATGTGTTGTGGAGCAGAGAAAGCCTTTGGTAATTGGTACCATTAGCCTCTGGGAGCGTAATCAGTGCAGTAATAATAAAATTGGCATCAATAAGAAAGGTTTTATTCTGCTTACGTTGTCTGGCAAAGAGAGCAGTGATCTATCAGGGCAGGGAATGAACAGGCACGTCCCAAATTAGGAAACTTCATCAATGCACTGCAGCCAAGGCAACGAAAGACAGTCTGGATGGCTGTCACTGAGCTTCTGAATGGGCTGGCTGCTGAAGGGAGAAGCTGGCGAGTGTCTTATTTGAGAACTTTCTTTCTCCGAAGTTGTTTCCTTGATTAAACATCTCCATGAAAAAAAAAAACCACCTCAGATGTTACTTAACACAGCAGAGCAGTGTTTCAGCTGATGAAAGTCCAGAGGAAAGAGGGAAGCGAATTTTGGACCAGGGCAGCACTGCTTAGAGTGAGAGCACCCTGTCCTGCAGCTCCGTTTGGGTCAGTGTGATGTTCCCCTTAGAGTACATGGCTGTCTGATGGGAAGGGTGTGTAATGAGGACCCTCAGGTTTCTGGTGTGGGTTTTGTGTGCACTGTTGCTTTTCTAATTGCAAATAAAGAAACTCTTCGTGGAGGCAAAATAGTCACTGTACAACAAAAGCTGACAGTGACTTAACAGGGCGTGTGAGGACTTGCTGGAAGGAAGATCCTCACAGCAGTGAATAAATCAGAAAGGGCTTTAAAAATGGGATGTGTGTTTTGGAGAGGAGAGATTGTCCACACTCCTCAGGAATAAACAATGCAGTGGGGGAGAGAGAATAGTTGTGCATAGGTTTCTTTAATAGTTTGCAAGGGAGAAGGATCAGGAGATCCTGAGATGATGTGCTACAGGCCATGACACTGGTTAACCCTTGGTGGCTGGGGCAACTCCATTTGCTGCTGATAATATCTGTAAAAAGTGAGGGGAGAACTAGAGTAGCTGTGATGATACATGCACCAGTTGTGAGACAGTATTTGCATGTGAAAAGCCCGTAAGAGGAAGGGGGGCTCCCTGATGTATTTTAGCAAATACAACTCTGTTCAAGCTACTTTCTTGGATGGTGAGAAAAGCTGGTCAGATTAAAGAAACCATGTCTAACTGGGGAGGGTTGGTAACAAAAATAACCCCAGACAAACCCTGATTGATTTTTCCAGCTCCTGGGAAACTCTATGAGGTGAAGCTGGTGGCATTCAATAAGCACGAAGATGGTTATGCAGCGGTTTGGAAGGGCAAAACAGAAAAGGCACCTGCAACAGCAGTAGGTGAGGAATGCCCTTCGTTTGTTGTCTGTCTCTTCTGCTTGGCATGTGGCTTCAAAGGAAGGGTAGAGGTAAAGTTACAGAAGATGAACTTGAAGGACAATACGAAAATGGAGAAGGTCCCAACATAAGGAAACTCCCTTTGACAGTCATTGCAAAATGCATTGGAGGAATTGTCTCGGGAAGGAGAGAAAGGAGCAAAATATCCTTCTCATTAGGGCTGTTCTTGTACTGCATGTGGATGGCCTTCACTGTGTTCTCTCTGGCCCCGATAGTGGCTTATGGATGGTCTTGGAAATGCCAAATAACCTGGGTTTCATCTTTTGTGTTATAAAGATTTGAGAACATGAATTAGCAGCATGCCAGGATTTTTGCGGTGTTATAAAGAAAGCAAAAGCTCTGAAGACCTAGGTTCCATTCTCAGCTCTGCCAGTCTGTTGTGGGACGGTGAATGGTCTGGGCTCCTTCTTACCCTGGTGTGGGCCTGTCAGGTGGGCAGCTTTGAAGCTGACCTCCTGTGCTCCACAGTAATACACCACCACCTTGGTGCGTGGATCCTCGTTGTGATCTTTCCCACACGTGAGGAAGAGCATGAACCACTGCATGCACAGAAGGGCTAAGCTGGGCATCTAGGTGTACGTTGGAGGCCACCATATTGGTGCAGACTTCATGACCTAGGCCTGTTTCATTCCGTGTTTTCTGTGTCCATGATGGCTGTCCATTGCCTTACTGCCATGTACCTCGCCACATCTCTTTTCTCATTTTGTCTTGCACCATAGATCCCCCTGTGCAGAAGGGTCCTCCGCTGCCTCCAGTCCAAGTCTATGCTGAGTCCAACAGCTCAACTTCCATATGGCTCAGGTGGAAGAAACCTGACTTCACCACAGTCAAGATTGTCAACTACACTGTGCGCTTCAGCCCTTGGGGCCTGAAAAATGCCTCTCTCGTTACATACTACACAAGGTAAGGCAGGATGCTGTGGGTTCATCTGCCATGTATTGCTCGTGTCAGGAATAAACACAGGGCAGGAGGAACCTTTATGGAAGTTCCAGTGCTGAGCAGAATCCTGGGTGCTTCACATTCTGGAAAGGTCCGCCTTGGTCACGGATGCATTCAGAGCTGGTAAAATGTGGCACTGAGACTTGCCCATGACTTAAATAGCAGGGGATCATTTACTGGCTGGTCTCTGCACGTTCTCTGCTCTGATCGGACCTTACATCTTTGTTTCCCTGTTAACAACAAAGCCAGGTGCAATTACGACCGTTCTGAAAGCATTCATGACTTGTGAGATGGTCCTCACAAGTTTGGTTTAAAAATTGGTAGAGTTTAAGCAGTTGTAATAATTTGGGGATGTATTTTAAATTTGGATTCCTGTGCAGGTTTTCAGCTTATAACGAGGCTAGGTTGTTAAGCTTTTCTCCGCAAGTACATCAAAAATGGTCCTGGAGGCTGGGAACTTTGCTCTGTAACTGGGACCTGAGTGCTTTTGCATTCACATGGCTGCAGGAGATAAAGCTTTAGATGAAAAATCAAATACTGTAGGACTTAAAAACATCTCTTATAGTGCTTCTGGTAAGGTACCAAGATGGCGGTTGGTGGGAGAACCATCTAGTGTTTATGGCCTTGTGAATGTGTCCTCTTTCGGCAGCTCGGATGAAGACATTCTCATTAGTAAAAAGGTTCACCCTTCCTGACCGTGAGTATTTATGGGAATTGAATCCTGATTTCTCCTGGCTTTTCTTGAATCTCTATCAAATCCCTCCTAATGTGCCCCTGAGCGATGTGGTGATCTCAGATCACCTCCAGCCTCTGGTGTCCCTGAGTACGTATAAGGCTGAGAGCTGCGAAGCATCCTGGTGGCTTTCCCAAGCCCATCAAAGGAGTACGTCTTTGTAAACACAGACGAGTGTGTTACTGTGGGATTACCTCTGGGTTAAGAGAAACCCTACTCATCAGGGAGAGCTCTGGTATTCTGGCTTTGGAGGTGTGGTGTGTCGTGCTCCTAGCTGGGACTAGGATGGAGAAGAAGGCAACAAGGAGCAGAGGTGTGCAGGAATATTCATTCAAATATGGCCAACGTTGCAGTCTCAAACTGAGCTGCATGGCTTCATCAGCACTGTCACGTTTCCCTTGGCTGGTTGGCCACGATGCTCAAGTCCTGCCCTGTTTCGGGCTCAGCAGCCTCCCCTCTGCACTCTCCACAGCTTCTTTGGATGACATGTCTGGCCACCCATGTCACTCAGGATTTTATGCTTGCAAACATGACTGTGGCACCACTGAGAAGGATTCACAGAAGACAAGGAGCAGTCATCATGCCCTTCAGGTTGAATGCTGCTCTTCTCATTTCTGCTGTTCATGCTGGGACTTTACTTGTCTCTCAGGTCCCTCAACTCCTCCATCTGACCTGCGGCTGCACCCGCTCAACCCCTACGCTGTTCAGGTGCACTGGTGCCCCCCTGCTGAGCCCAACGGCATCATTGTGGAGTACCTTATCCTGTACAACGCCAACAACACACAGCCTGATGACATGTGGACCTTGCTGACGCGAGAAGGTGAGCCTCCTTGAGGTACTGTAATGCTCAACCAGGTCCTCTTCCTCCTCCCACCTTCCTTGCTTACAGAGCCCTGGTTGTTCAGTGCCGCTGCCCTGATTTTTGCCTCACTTTGAGCACATAAACATTCAAAAGCTCATGCTGCCACCTTTCATGAGAGCATATGCTGGGCCTTGCTCCTGGTCATCTAGGAGTGTCCAAGGACATGACTACTGAGAGACATGAAATCATGCACGTCTAGGGCTGAAATAGCCATTATCATCCATCAAACATCCTGCAGATACAGGCTGGCAGCCAGTAATTCCTAGGAGAATGTATGCCAGCAACACCACGTGCACTCTGTATCATCAGCTCTTTAAGCTGCAAGTCCGTTAATACCAAAGAGGTGCATGAATTACATCTTAGAGCTCATGACACAGAATCCCTCACTTCTGAATGTCCAACAGAATTCTGCTGTGGCTTCGGTGCAGCCTCTGAATACTCTTGAAACTGCATATTTTAAACCTCTTTTGTCTTGCCTTTGGTTAGGAAATATCTTCAGCACTGAAGTGCATGGCCTGGAAAGTGATACCAGATACTTCTTCAAGATGGGAGCAAAGACAGTCGTGGGGTCTGGTCCCTATTCAAACGTTAAGGACGTGCACACCCTCCGGGAGAAGTTGTCTGGTACGAATTTCCCCTTTGTCCTGGTGCTGGAAACGAGTTGCATTGCTGAAGGCCGTCTTTTGTCAGTAGTGGCATTTCTGTTTGCCAAGCAATTGCCTGATGTCCCTGTGCAGGGTGTGAGATGGGACTGTGGTTGGCCAGTGCAGAGGATCATGGCAGAGTCCTCAGATGTGCAGCTCCACAGGCCTCAGGCAGCGCCAGAACCTGTCCCACAGAAATTCATCTCTCTTCCCATGGAAAGGCACATGCAACCCGCATCTTGCTGCCTTTCCGTTAGGCCTGTGGAGCGTGAAATTAATGAATATGCATAGATGCCACTTTGCTTTAAGCTGCTCTAAATTGTTACTGCCAAGTAGTCTTCTTCCATTATGTGTATAGAGGCATCACCTTTTGGTTTTAGTGAAGCTGGTGCTTCTCTGAACCTAAGATACTTTGTACCTTCTTCCTGCTGGCAGCTGAAATGGCGTTATCTGTCCTTCCCCTACTAGATGTTCTGGATATCCACTCTGTCACAGGAATCATTGTGGGAGTCTGCCTGGGGCTGCTCTGCATACTCTTCTGCATGTGTGCCAGCTTCCGCAACAGCAAGCAGAGGTAGGTGTCGCCTCACCTTTGCAGGAGGTAAAGGAGTCTGATATGGAAAGAGACAAAAGAACCGCTGTGAGCTTCCTTCCCGTGTTCAGCTGAGCTGTTGGGGATGCAGTATATGACATCAGTTAATGTAAAGATTGAGCCTTGGGAGTGCTAGCTAGCTGAGGAATTTATTTAATATAATCTTTTCACTGATTTATTTTCTCAGTAGTTTCTCTTTAATTTGCGTTGTTAGACTTACAGGTGTTTTTTAGAGAGAAAAAAAATAAAGAAAAGGGAAAAAAACACTGTTTGTCAGATTATTACCTGTGTGTGTTAACGTGGTCAGTATTCCGCTTCTGAGGTTGGACAGCTCTAAGGATGTTTGGAAAGGGTTTGTTAACTTCCAGTTGGGAAAATGATGAAAGAACTCCCAGTTCTTTCAGACCCCCTCCCAGGGGTCTGAATCCAGCCAGAAGCATTTGGAAAGACCGTGATCGGAAAACAGGTTATTGTTAGGAAGAGCTTTGAGTTGGAGAGTAGATCTCAGGAGTAGTAACAAGAAACTTCTGATGTTTCATCCTAATGTGGCCACCAAACCTTTCTGTCCTCTTGCATCTCTTAACCTGTAAAGCAGAGATGACAGGACTGACACAACTCCCCACGGGCAGGGGTTAGAGAGCGCTTGCCCTAGTGCTGGGACTCGTGATCCACTGGTGAGGGGAGGGCTTGGCGTCCAGCACTGTGCTTTGTATGGGCTTTCAGATTAGTGAAGATGGTGAAGAGGTGCATCTGGGGAGAGGTTACTGCAGCAAAAGCTGTAACTGTAGGATGTGGATAGAGTATTCCTCAGGAGCAGCAGGGCAGGGGCTTGGGCCTGGGCGCTTCTGCAAGGACAGGCTGAGTGGCCCGAAGGGGGTCACTTCCTCTGGCAGTCCATGGCTGTTTGGGACAGAGGAAAGGGAGGCTCGTGAGAGATGTCAGCTCTTGCTTGTTTTCCCTCAGGGAGGCTCTGCCCGGCCTGGATTCCCAGGCAGCTGGCAACCACACTTACTACCACCGGAGCAGGCAAGGGGTGGCAGCTCCCAGTGCCACCTCAGATTCTCATGAGCTAGAGTCCCTCATGTCCCCGCTCCCAGAGGATGCACCTGTGCCCCTGGGGGACATCACAGAACTGACGGAAGTGCACAGCCTCATCCACACAAGCCTGCCTGAGGACATCATTCATGGGAAGAGGAAGGTAAGGACCCATGCATATGGTGGCTGAGCTCCCATCCTACACAAGAGCTTTTGCTTGGTCAGTCGGTGACGGAAAGCCGGGGTCTGATCCTGTCCTGGCTCTGCAAGGCGCTGTTAGTCTTGCTGCAGGCTGGTGCTGGCCAGCCATGCGTTTCTCTCTGTGTAAAACTGACTGGCTCGGTCTTGGCTGTCAGACCTAAGTTTGGGATCCCTGTGTCATCTACCACCCCTTTTCACCCCCCCGGACAGTGACCTTTCGTCCCCAGAGAAGCAGTTATCAAACTTGCTGCTGCAGAAAGCTGCGCTGTGGTGTAAGAAAGGGTGATGTCCAGAGCAGACGATCTGCCTTCCAGGGTACGCTTTTGCTTAGAGTAAAAGGAGCTTTGTCTGTAAATGGTGTGTTCGCTGGAGGACCCTTGAAGATACAAAAGAGGTGAAATTGTGTTTTATTTGTGAACCTTATTTTTTGAAGTAGTCTTTTCCTGCTCTGCTTGGTTTGCCTGACATTGCATTGTCTTTCACTCCTCCCTGCCCATTTCCACTCTCAAGCTTGCCTGAAACATTTCATTCCATTAGGGAACCTTTAATTGGCCTAATTTAGTTAATCTGTTTATGTCTCTCTTTGTAGCCCAGGGAGAGCATGTAAAGTAATTAGGAGGTTCAGTAAAACAAATGTATTGTGAGCGCATGGGATTTCACGTTTGCATCGACGATGCGCTCATGTCTCACTGGAGAGAGGGTGAGTTCAGGATACCTGGCTAACCACGAGACCCGTCCTTGCTGCTAGTGGCGGTGCGGGTATGGTCTTTTGGAAACACAGTGTCTTCTGCTGGCTTTAATAGTCCTGTCGGCCGAAGCCATGCTCTTGGCCATCCCCAAGTGCTGTGGCAGATCAGTGCTCGGCTGAAGGAGAGGCAGTTTGCAGCCAAGCCGCATCTATGGATTTCTGTGGAATGTAGCTGCCTGTCTGGACCCAAGCCGAAGAGTGTGAGGAATTTCCTACAGCTCTTTCTGTTAAATCAGGAACAAATGTTTTCAGCGACAGTGACTTACCCTGAGAACAGGTCGGGGTGGCGGGGAAGTTCTCTCCCTTGGGAGGCTTTTCTGGGGGCAGCATATCCAGATCCCGCTTCCAGAGCAGCAGTCCTGTCTGCAAAGGTTCGCACAAAGATTTTCATGTGTGCAGAGCTGGGGCTGGAGAGGGCAGTAGCAAGGCCTGGCTGCTCAGGGCTTAGCCTGGGAGCTTGGGGTCCCCAGCAGAGGCTGGCAGTGTCTGGCAGCAGAGTTGTGTTCCAAGACCAGAGCTTTGGGGAGAAGCGCAATTCTGGCTGTAGTGTCTCTTCTTCCCTAATTGGATGGAGAAAGGCCACCGAGAGTTAAATTCACTGAGGATTTTTGCCAGCAGAATAAAGAGCTTTGGGTTTTTTTGATGGCTGTGTGTAAGGAAGCAAGGGTTACTGAGGAGCAGCTGCACGCAGCCACCCAGAGAGCAGAATTGTCACCCGTGCCGCCTGGTGAGGGTGACCTGGCAGGTGAAGGAGAGCTCGAGCGGTGGCCCGGAGCAACAGGCTGTTGTTGCTGGGAGTGGGCACTGGAGGGAGATGTGCTCCCACGCAGGAGGCCCTGCTCCCTCCACTGCCCAGTTCCTGTTGGAAGTGCCACCTGAGCCAGCCCTCAGCACCACCGCATCCTCTCCATACTCTGACACGTATAATCAAGGGTGAAGAGACTCAGGCCAAACACATCTTTATGCTGCAGTTGCCAAGAGGCTCTATGTCTGGATGGCGATATGATTTTTTTTTTCCTGGTTGGGTAGGCAGGGATTTGGGCAGGAGTCTCACAAGCGTGGCTGGACCAGTGCACGCATGCCTGGTCCCCAGAACAGATGTAAATCAGAGTGAGCTACAGCTAGGGGTGTGTGCATCTCCCTGCTTGTAGACTAACTGTTACTAGCCAAGGCCCAAGAGTGAGTTGTAGGTTCCTTGGGTTGTCTTGTGTGCTGCAAAGAGCTTCTTCCAGTGGCCATTTCAGCTAGGCTGCCAAAAACCCTCGGGGACCCTGCCTGGAACTGCACGTTGCTGGGAGCTTTCTACCCCACAGTGACCAGCTGCCTTTGTTGCCTTCTCTGTTCTTCTCTCAAGCTGTGTGTGCTTGGGGCTGTGAAAATCTACAGCGAGGAATGTGGTGGAGCCACAGGAAAGAGAAAATCCACGTGGAAGGAAATTTCTGGTCCAGCCTGGCAAGGGGAAGCTCCCCAGGGTGCTCCACGTGGGGTACTATCACTTGCGGTCCTAGTCAATAAAGAAAGGGAGTGAGAAATGTCTCTAAGATCCCTTTTATTTAACAGCATATCATGTCACTGCAGAGCTCAGGATGTTGGCTGGGACAGACTTTTAGTCGGATGCTGCTGCCGCTACTGGGCAGGTTTGTATAGCTGTGATGCCAAGGAACTGGCAGCTCCAGGCCTGTGTGACCTTCTCCGGTTGCCTGCGAGGCCCTCCATCCTCAAGTTACGTTCCTGAAACTTGTGTTTTGTTGGCTGGGTAGCACTTGCCGTTAGCAGTGGCAGTGATAGCTGCTCCTGTGCTTGCAGGCTTTTTCACGTGCCCTCCCGTTACTTAGCATTCCATGGATTATTCTTTATTGGTTTTATTCTTATGGCAGCCCGAGGCTCCAGTGGAGATTGGAGGCTCTGTGTTGTCAGGAGATACACAGAAGGGACTGTCCCCATGCCATAAGCAGTCAGAAGTAAGTGAATGTCATTTGCAGGTGTGAGGACTGAAGAACAGTGAGACTGAGGGCAAGAAGGCTTTAACAATGCTGAGACTTGAACAGGCTCCTGCAAAGAATTGCAGGCAAGGGTTTGAGAAGTCTCCTTGCATGTTTTCAAGTCGAGATCACCAGTTCCTTTGAATGTAGGGCTGTGATTCCTCTTGAGCTGTTACAAGTACTGCTGGGGGTGTAGGATGGTGCAAGTGGAAGGTGGGACGTTCTTTGTGCTGCTGGACAGCCCAGAGGAGCCCTCTGGCCACTTTGCCCCTTCTTGCAGGACAGCAAGGTGGTGCTGCGGCTGAGCTGTCGGCAGGAGGCCCCTCTGGACGGCTGACAGCTCTATTAGCAGGAGTATGCTCGGCCATTTAGTGAGCCCTTTTCCTTCCTTTCTGTGCATTTCCCAGTGGTCACACATGAGGATTTGTAAATACACTGACAAGTGATTTTCCTCTCTTACTCTCTTCCCCTTTGAAGTGACCCCCAGACTGATGCCCTCGGTAGCCTGCGTTATAAATGACACTGTAATGCACAGGCTGTGGTGATGCAGCTCTGTTTCCCCTGACAGATGGACTGAGGATGATAAAATGGCTCAGCTCCAGACATCTCTGTCACTGCTGCTTTTGGGCCAAGCAATTTAGGGGGTGGGGGAGAATGTTAAAAAGCATCTGCTTTCCATGGAAGACTTCAGCTTTTCATTGAATGAAGCCAAACCCAAGCGTTTTGGCTTGGAAATGCTTGCTGTTGTGCTTCTTGCAAGCTGGAACCTTCCTTGCTTGCTGCCCTGCTCTTTTCCTGTGGGCCTCATTTCCCTGTGGGCCTCCTCCCCATAAGGACTATGTTTCCCGTGAAGCATCCCCGTGACTCGGAGAGCAAAAGCTGTAGTGTGTCAGGGAACTTGGATCTACCCAGGTTGTTTGTCATTTTTTGTGTTGAAATTTTTCTGCGTGGAAAAAAAGTCCCAATGTTTTCTGAAAAGTTTGAGGTGAGAGCTGTGCTCCCGTTGACAGCTAGCAGAGATTTTCCTTTATCTGGTGGGGAAGAGGTCTGTGTTACATTGCATCTTGTTTGGGGCACAGCTGCAGGCAGGGATGCCTCTATGTTTGCGTGGCACAAAGCTTTCCCACTCCCACCGGCTGCTGTGGAGCCATTCAGCAGTGAAACCTTTCTCTCTGCTATGACACCCTTAAAAGCTGGGCACATCTGAAATGTCCCCAGCCTTGTTCTGCACAGGATTTCGAGCTAGTTTGAATAACCATCCTCATAAACCAGGGAAGGTTTCAAGATCAACATTTCCTACTTGTTCATTCTCAGCTCATATATTCGCATGAAATCATTACTTGTCACTGAGAAGGTAACATGATCTAGGCACATTTTTACCAGTCGGAGTTTCTATAAAAAGGCTAAAATGAAAAGGCTTGTTTGCTTTGATAAGGATTTAGCTGTAATGGAAACACCTTTTACTGGAAGATGTTTTTATTAGTTTTCATTCTTGTGTTTGCAGTGAACTGACAAAGGGATTTTTCTGTCTTTAAATCAGTATTAGACTGACAGTCCTTGCCCTCGTTCCTCTATTGTAAAAACCAAAAGAACGTTTCCTTGTCTTCCTTCAGCCATTCACTAGTCCCCTTTGACTAGAAAGAAATAGTATCATTTATTACACCAAAAGATACTGCTTAAAAAAGCAGAGAAGCTTTCAGGCACACAAGACCAACCTGTTTTCATCACAGACCTGGAGTTAATTGCTGCTGCCCAACTTTAGAGATTGAGCCCCAAGAGGGATTTTTTTTTTTTTTTCCCCTCTCAAACATAATGTGCTTGAACAACATGTGGGACATAGGCCATGTTGTGTGGCTGATGGTTTTTTCTGTTTGTTGAAAGTTGCAAACTGGTACAAAACAAGTTTGTTCTTCATTGCAGCCAATTTCAGCCAGAGCTGAACAGGCTGTTCCCAGAGTCATCAAAACCTATGTAAACATGGCAGATTGACATTTCCGCTAACAGATGGTCCATTGGGGATTGCAGTAGAGCTGCCTGTTTCTTTCCACGTTTTTTGGTATTCACAAGATGCCTGCAAGAAGGTTTTCAAGTTTGCTCTGTGTGTGTGTATGCGTATGATGCTCAGATCTTTCTGATGGCAAATATGCATGTAAGCATCTATAATAGGACACACATTTGTGTGCATGTGTGCATATTTGTGTAGGTTTGTCGCTGAAATTTCCAGGCAGTATTTGCTCAGTAACGTATGTTCCTTGGAAAAGGCACAGAAGCCATCAGTCAGTGATGTAGCTGCAGAAAGCCTTTCAGATGGCAGCAGAAGCAAATTGAATACGTTCCTTGAGTACTCGCGTGTAATGATATTCCTTATTGTTAGCTGTGTGTGATCACTTGGTTGGTTTCTTGCTATTAAAGTGTAGTTTAATGATTGTCCACTTAGAAAGGCAGCGATTAGGGAATGCTCCTGGCTCAGAATATATTGTTGAGGATTGGAGAGAGAGAGAGAGAGGAATGGCAAAGATGCTGCCTCCAGCATCCACTTCTAAATTAGCGAATGCTTGATATCCACAGTGCTGGACTTGGACATCAGTGTTTTGCAGGATGCTGTCATATAAATGAGGCCCTTTACTACTTGTTTTCTTAAGGTTTGATCCTGAGGCAGCAGCAAAGCTCCTATGACTTGACGTTAGCACCGGGATGTAACGCTGCCCTGCCTCCCACGAGGTGTTGAGCCCCTTTGGCACTTAAGTCAGGGTGGACAGAGAGTGCTGGGGAAAGGCTCGGGCAGCTCTTCAGTGCATACATGAGGGCTTTAATGTGCCTTCTGCCAGCACCGACAGCACGAGGTAGCATTTGCTTCTTGCTAAATAGCTGACTTAGAAATGCCTGGCTCACATACAACATCTGGTCATGTATTTCTACCTAATTTCCAGCCAGATGGACTGAGGCACAAGGAGGTCAAATGACTCACACAAGGTCAGGCTGATGTCAGAAATCTCCTTGCCGTCTCGGGTGGACTCATGCTACGTTGACTGTTGTTGGAATAGATCTGGCCTGTGGAAGCAACGTCCACATATGCAGCACAGAAACCTGGGTTTCTCCTGCCTGACAGAGAGCAATAGGTGGTTAGTGGGTTTGAATCGATGTGCTGTATATCTTCACCCTACGCAGCCATCATGCTCACACCACCGCTATTCTGTATGCACACACACAGCACACTCGCAGTTGTGTCAGGTCAGGATTTTCTCTTCACTTCAGCTTTGTGTTGTCCTCTCACTTCTGTCCAGGCAACGTGTGGAATGAGTCCAGAGATAACTGGCTCATGTGTTCCTTAAACGTGAATGCACGCGTGTGTGCGTATATATGTATATGTATGTGAGTCAGTAGCAAGGCTGAGCTCAGGTATATGCAGGACAGTCCAATAAAATCAAAACCTGGAAAGAAAATACTTTTCTGCCTGTGAACTAATAGTCTGAGCTGTTAAATAACTTCAGCTCTTAAAGGCACACATTTCCCATACACAGAGGTGTGCATTCAACAGTTTATTGCAAGGGGAAGCTGAGAGAACCCAGAACAAATTGCATTCAGCCCATATAATTTAATTAGATCTACAAACAAGGTAACACTGGTTGCCCAGGGGATTTAAAGCTGAGCTAAGAATTGCTTGGTGGTCTGTTGCAAAAAAAAAAAAAAATTTAAAAAAAAAAAAAAATTTAAAAAAAAAAAAAAATTTAAAAAAAAAAAATAAGGCCCCCAGTTTTGTGCCTCTGTGTTGGTGGGGAATGGCAGAGTGTTTACCCAAGCCCTAGCTTAGAGCAGGAAATCTGTCTGCACCGCAGAGTGAGCAGTTTAGCATTGTCTTCAACTCTTACTGGAGCACGTGTGCCAGTGCACACAGGTGAGAGTCCTTCTCCTCGCTGCAGAGCATTGCTTATGCCAAAGCAAATACTGTAATCATTCTGCTCTAGATTTCCACCATCCCAGTTCCTTTCCAGCTTTGCGATATTTTTCAGTAGGGTCATACTGCTTTGGGTTGTTTGCAGCTTTGCAGGGAGTTGATTTCAGGGGACCTTTAAGTGATGGGCTGTGCCATGATATACCTGTTGGCCTAAGACTTTGAGAATCAGTGGAAGGCCCACTTTGGCTGTGAACTGTCTGGCAACTTCTATCCACTTGCTCTGCACCAGACCATGTAGCAGAGCAATAAAGCCTGTCGTGATGGGGTGACTGTACCAGTCCGTTGCAGCGATCATCTTTATTTTGATGCCATCAGAAGTGATCTCCGCATTTAACTTGCGTCTTCTAACACCATAGTATTTTCCCCAACACGAAATTTTCTTTTTCAAGCTGCTTCTCATTTCAGGTTTATGAGGATAAGAATCTCTTATCTGTGATAATTGGATCTTTTCTCCTCCCGATATTCTTCTGCAGTCTTCATGGAATAAATCAGCTAACCAGCCCTGGACAAACAGCATAGCCAGATACGGGGACACTATCACAAAAGAGCCCCTCTCTGCTGTGAACGGATCACTGAAGCTCCCTTCCAGCGCAGGACAGAAGCTTTTGTTACAAGCTCTGGTTTATGATGCCGTGATGGTGGGTGTCTTCAGTCTTGTGTATTCTGATGTGATTTTTCCATTTATGCTCCCCATCTCCCTTTCTCCTTTTTCCAGCGCAGGAGAAAATGTTTTCTTCTCTGAGCTAGCTTTAGTTGGCTGATCATGGGCTTTAATTTTTTTTTTTTTCCTGCGTATAGGAGTGTATGCCAGCGACACTGCTGGGATTTGAGTTAAATACTCTTTGGTTTTTCCAAGCATTGCTCAAAGCCTCAACTCTCCCGTGATCATCTGCCTTGACTCCAGCCGGCCCCTGAGGGCCTGTGCCAGGGGCTTGTTCTTTTGGTGACGGTCAGGTGGGGTCAGACAGCTCGCTTGGCAGCGGGGTTGTGGCAGTCCCGGTTCCTGAGGACCCGGAGCCAGGCACCAGCAGTCTGCGTTGGGTCTTTGCTGTGGTCACGCAGCGAGCAGCCTGCCAAATGAGTTAGGAGCTGCAGTGCTCAGCACAATCATTAAGATCTACAGTGTGCTAGCCTGAAGGAGGTATTGCATTTTTGCCTGTAAAAGGAGTCAAAGATCAAGGGTGGATTTAAACTCCTTCTCCCGATGGGGTAGAGCAATTTCCACTGCACTTGTCTTCTTTATGTGGGTGGATAGATTGGGAAGAAGTCCTGTTTCTGATACCGGTTCATTGGAAAAAATGTGCACTCCCGTGTTTGGGAGAGTTTGTACAAGGATCGTGTCTGTGCCACAGTCTCAGCAAAGCAAGACAACATCTGCTCAGATTAACTCTGTACCAGAAGATTTCTTTGGTTATTGTTTCAAAAAGTTCACCTCTCCCCCCAGCAAATACTTCTACATAACCTACCTGTGTTTCCTTCCCAGATAGTAGTGTGAAAATCAATTATACACAGGATGTAATTAACATTGTGGATAGACTTAAGACAATGTTTTACAACCCAATTACAGGGCACCGTTTACAGCACAGCTTATCCATCAGACTTTGTCAACAAAAGGAGAAAAGTGTTAAAATATGTAAATGATGCACAAAGTTGGCTTCAACAGAAAGCGCAAATTACACGTGGGATATCTCACTTCCATACTTTGAATTGTCTTCTGGCTCCTGAATCACACTCAGCCCAGAATCTGAGCACTGATTCCCTAGAGAGCTCTTTGTGAGCTTCCAAAATAATTTGCCTGTTAAATTCTTGAATGATAATCTAGCAGAATGACCTGCTTGTTAGCCAGATTTGTGGACACCCATACCCTGAACTCTGCTTAAGCACTGCAGAGGAGAACCAATTGGTTTCTTTTTGAATTAAAGTGCTTGAATTTACACCAACTTCTGCAAGCTGTGACCGGGGCTCTAACAAACATTTTGTGATACGTAGCCAAAATTAAACCAGGAAGGCGCAGGGAGCCCTGGTATCTAGTTGTGGGTCTATATCATGATCTCTCGCAGAAACCAGTTTTCTAGGGCGCTGCCCACTCGCCCTCAGAAATCTGGTCCTTAATATGGAAACAGACTGGTGGGTGTTGAAAGTTGTTGTCTTTGGCAGAGGCTTGGAGGAATGGTTGCTCCAGCCTGCCAAGAAACCGTGGGCAAATTACTTCACTCCCCTGGGACATACTTTCCCAAATGTAAAATAGAAATAATGATCCTGAGGTGATTTGAGATGCTTCTTAAGATTTCAGCTCTAAGAAACATATCGAGGCTTAATAGAGGCACGTGTACATCCCATTGCACTCTGTGGGATTAAAAAGAAATACATTTCAGTGCTTGGTTGGGTCACAGCCTCAATTATCTGTGTTTCATTTACTTTAACTTTTTTTTTTCTTTTTCTTTTTTTTATTTTTTCCCTGTTTGATAACAGAATGAAGCAAAGAAAAGCCATCCGCCAGCCGGCCTCCACCAAGTGGAAGCAGAAGTCATCGTCCATTCGGATTTTTCAGCCTCAGACAGAGACTACGACTCCCAGCTGCACACTCTGGAGAGTGAAGAGACAGAAACCGAGGACCAGGAGCCTGAAGAGCTCCCCTCCGGAGAGCTGGCTCTTCCCGGCTCTCCCGGCACCCAGCAGGATGCTAGCCAAGCGTTGGTGGACTGCACGGGCAATTCGGAGGTTCGGGCCCAGGACGAGCTGTTATCTACTGACAGAAAGACTAACAAAACAGAGGCTGTTTGCATCCCTGGGCTCACCAATGGCTTCCACAGGCACGGGGAAAGTCTGGATTCAGTGGAGAGCGGAGATTCGGACTGCATCCAGGAAGGCAGCGGGGATGTGCAGCCAGTCAAGTGCCAGTCGCTTTCCCTGACCCCGGAGGAGGCCCCCCTCTGTAGTAACTCTGGTTTAACCAGTTCATCCTCAGCATCTGAGAACATGGCATGTGTCCACAATCGTTAAAGAGTGAACCAATCTGATTTTGATCATGGGAGAGCTAGAAGCACTAGTAAGGGCCTGTGCCTGTGAGGTACTGCACGCCCTCGACTCACTGAGCCCAGCAGGAGCTAAGAAAGTGCAGCATCTGACCAGAACGGGGTTTGGACCTGCCAGCTGTACATATTGCCTTCAAGGAATGAGTAGGTAGATTGGTAAGGGTCCGCCTTCTTCCCACTGAAGCTGATGAGTAACTTGGTTTTCGTGGGAGCAGGATTGAGCCATCTGCCAAAGTCTGTCATGAAACCACAGCTAGAACAGAGCCTTCTGCGTTAGACTGGGGCTGTCACTTTGCTGTAGTCCTCGAGGCGACTGGCAAGATGTCTTTTAATGCTGGGAAGAGGCAGGTTACACCGAGCGATTCTTCTCAACTCTCTCTTCACCAGAGCACGACTTGGCACTACCTGCTGCCTTGAAGTGTTGGGATGAATTTTGTCAGAGAAGTCCCACAAGGCGGTGGAAACCAACACAAACAAATTCAGTGAGCTGTAACCACCAACCTTTTCTGCCCTCCCGTGGTTAAAAGGATTATAAGGCTCTCTTTGTACGCTACCGCAGTAACTATGACTAGCAGGCTGATGTAGTGGCCTGTTATTACACACTCTACGAGTGGCTCTAACAACTTGTACTATATAGAACCTTCTTCAGCGTCTGGGTCATTTCACCAACCTGGACTTTGTTTTACTTAGGTTCTTGTACCTAATATTTTAGGTACACATCTGTCCTTTTAATGTACAACATGTATTTTTATTTCCTTGGAACATCTTTATATTATTTAATTTTATAAAGTGGAGTAGTGTGTGGTATAGAGTAGCATTTTTACTACTTCTCTCTTTCTTTATTTTTTTTCCTCCCTAACAACACAACTACCTCATGTCTGTTGGAGAAAAAAAAAAAAAAAGCAGCAGATCTACTCTTTTGTTATAGTCCATTATAGGTTTTAACTTATTCTTATACGGCCTTTTTCTAAAGAATATGTTTGCACTGGTTGTTGACTCTTTTTTAATGCATAGTGCTGCAGATCTGATGTCTCTCTTGCTTTGTTTCTGAGTATTGCTCTAGGACACCTTCCTACAGCTGGAGAATTGGGTCGTGTTTCTCTGTAGGACTGTATTTTGCAGGAGTGGGCCAAAGGAGACTGCTTCAGCTGGAGGGATGTTGATCCATCTTTCCTTGAGAAGCTTATACTAGCGAAGAGAAAAAAGAACCAACAATTGCAAAACTAACTTGTGGTCTTGGGGACATCTATTTTTTTTTTTTTTTTTTTTGTGCCTGAGTGGAGACATCTCAGCTGATTTTGATTTCCAGAGAGCAGCTCTCAGCCTTCTCTAAGCAGTGGACTTGCTGAAGGCTTCGGATGAACACATGAAATTTTCCAGTCCCTTCTGAGAGTCCTGGCCAAAGTGCTTTTGGGTTGTTTTTTTTTAAAGACCAGAGCACCACCAGAGCTTAAAAACTAAAATCAAATCTTTGCTCTCATACCAGTCAGTCTGGGTTTATTGTAGATAACATTTGAAAATCATCTAGTGACTTGTCCTTGATGACACTGTTTGCTTACTGCTGGCATGTCTCTCAGCCTGACCTTCTGATGTGGCGTGAACGTTTTTCTGCCTTGTCTTTAGCCTCTCTCTGCCCTGCTCCAGGCTTGCAGAGTTTGACTGCGAACACTACAGATTGGACCAGCTCCTCGGAGGTAACAAAGATCAGTAATTTTGTTCATTGAGTGTTCAGTAAATGTTCTGCCTTCCTGGAGGATTCAGACATCTGGCCATTTGTTTATTAAAAAATGAGGGAAAAGATGCCCATCTCCCTCTTTTCCGACTGAAGTTCGCCCAAAGCTATACAGGGAGCTGTGTGCTGATCTGAGGTCCTGGAAAAGGCTTTAGATGTTGGTTTTTTGTGGTGAAATCTGGACTGAGATACAGCTGCTTGCAGCAAGGAGAACCTTGCTCCACCAGCATCCTATTCCTGCCTCTGTTGTGAAGAGCCATGTCACAGTGTGCCCTGTGTTTTGGAGCTGAGCTGGACCGGCCCGTGTCCTTGCAATCCTCCATCACACCTTTTAGCTCCAGCTCTTTAGCAGAGGAGTACCTCCAAGCCTCCATGTACCCTGTTGGGAGTGATACTGGAGCTTTCACCTCTCCGCGTCCTACGGCGTCTCCTCCCAGTATGACACACCATTCTGGTAAACAGCTGTATTTCCACTTGTTGCACTTGCTCTGTTGCTCCAGCTGCTGCTCAGTATCTTGGGGAGCCTCAGAAAGGCCGTTGCATGCTCTGAAGCGCTGTGACTCTGAAGGGCTGTGGCACAGAGACTGGAAATCAGTGCCAGAGCAGGCTAGGCAGGAGCTAGTGCGTGTGCGCTACCAGAGCGAGGAGTTAGAAAGGCAAGAAATCATAACTGGGCAGAGGAAGTGCGTAATTAACCTCCAGAACTCTCTGCCACAAGACTTTGAAACTAATGACTTAGCAGGGTTACAGATAAGGCAGGGAAGTGTTATTGCAGGCAATAAGGGTAATTCACAGTTATATGGGAGCGGATGCAATTGCAGAGGTATAAACCCTCCAGCTGTGGGGTATCGGGCACTGGCTGCAGAGGGTGGGGGGAGACTTCTGCAGCTGCACCTCAGTTTGCAGTTAGTTTCATGGAAGAGTTGTTGCCCTTCCCCAGCGCCAGAACAGACCCCGTACGAGCCACGTTGCCACTGCTGACATGCAGAAAGGGAGAAGGACCCTTCTCCGAAGAGCTCGCTCCAGAGGAACTCCTGGTTACTTCTTTTCACCTCCAAAACCAAGTCATCCGCCTGCCAGCATGACAGTGTGCCAAAGGACCGCTCTCACTGAGCATCTTGGCTGCTGGAGGGCAGCGCCAGGAGGAGTTTGGCTGGCGGTGGGCACAGCTGGGGCACCAGAGTTCTCCTCCCAGCTCCCTGTCATGACACTGCACCTGGGCAGGTCATGTACCAGCCCTGAGCTTTCCATCCAGGGGCCTGTGGGGATGGAGCTCAGTCCAGTGGCTGATTTAGGAGTGTGCCACGGTTTCTGGGGCACTCCTCTGTATACGCACCCACTGCTTTAAGTCCATACTGACGTTAGCAATCATAGAGCCACAGGGTGAGCGTTGCTGATCTGCCTAAAAGCTATCCCTGCCTGGCACTGAAGCCAGCACAAGCAGGCACGGTGTGGCACCGTTCCCCAGGATCACCGTGGGCCAATTACAAAATCACCAAGTTAGTTACGTGCTCCGAGAGCTTTCGGGAAGATGCAGCAGAGTGCAAACAATTCTACTTATGCATCACAAAAATACTTCGTCTCCTCACGCTGAGGCTTATTCTGGTCTCATTACACCCCACCAAATTGTACCAGAGTGTGAAACTGGCAGCGTTTGGATGTCCAAGTACTGGGGTGGCCATGGACTGGTATGCCAGACCTCAGCTGTTCAAGGCAGTTCCCTCAGAGCCAAGAGGTCACCACTGACCCGCAGCAGCGAAGCTGTTCTCGGTACGAACGCGTGTCCATGCCGAGTGCTGCGTGTCCGTGTCTACCTCGGCTGTACCCCAGGTCCCTCCTGTCCTGAACGCACGTGGGACCTTTCTAGTCTCAGCTAGAAATGAATGGAAGAAGACAGATAATTCACATTTTATGTGTAAAGCTGAAACAACCAGTGCATATATTTTTTTATCATGAAATAAGTAGCTTTCTTGCAGATTTCTCACAGACACGCAAACTGTTGATAACCTTTAATTACCCGTCATACTTAATATATGTTCCTACGCATCAGGCTCCTTTCTCCCTTTTCTTCCTTTCAGTAACACTAAAGATTATTGCTGTTCAACTTTTTGCTGGTGTATATTGGTTTATGTTGTTAAAATGTCAGGTTTGTCTCACTGGCATGATTTTGTAGTATTAATGTTACCATTTGGCTACACAACTGTATATTCCCCATGCTGCTGCGAGAGTCACAATTCTCATCCTTTTCTTTCTTTTAATTCCTTGGTACATGAAACACGTGACTCAGATAAAAATCTCTTCCAACTTTTTGTTGTTTTGCTTAACAGACAGCGAAGTTCTGGTTTAAATAGTTCAAATGAGATAACTTATAATCTAGGTTTTGAGAATTTTTTACTTTACTAGCTAACGATCCTGAGATCAGCCCATGAAATACGCCGTGTAAGAAAGCAACCATTATAATAGAGCACTATATATGGTTTTGATCTCATTAGAAATAGATGTTTTGAAGGGATCATTGTGTCTTTTCTAATCAATACTTTTGTTAGAAAAGAGGTGTTTAGTCCAGCAGAAATCTACCATCTAGTTCTGTTACTGTATTCCCTTGCTTGTATTTTAAAATTAAATTTCATTTAATTTTCTGCACAGTGCATAAAGATGTGTAACCAGAACTTGATCTCGTTTGAAGATTGTGTCTGTGTTTGGTTCCATGCTGTACTTAATTATAAATTTCTTTCTTCAGAGACTGTTCTTACTCCACAAATACTCTTTAGTGTTAAAGTGTAAGAAGACATTGTCCTTATATTCCTTAACTAATGGGTTATTAATAAAATATTTTAAAAAAAGGGTAGAATTTGTCTCACAATTCAGTCTGTTACAGCTCTTACCGCGAGAGAAAGTTGTTGTGGAAAAGGCTGATCCTGCAGCTGTGCTTGGAGTGGTTGGACACTGGGAAATTTGCCGTTAGGCGCTGGGCCGTACCCGGCCCCTCAAAACACGGAGAGGATGGCCGGAGAGCTCTCTGCTGGCGTGAGTTTGCTGGAGACGGACTTGCAAGGTGTCGGCTTGGCTGCTGCTGTGCCTCGTGGTGCGGGGGAACCTGCATGTGCATTTCTTAACAGCTCCAATCCAGCCTCCTGCTTACCTGCATCGCTTCTGGATGGATCTGAACTGCAGCTGGCAGAGCGGGGACTGCCTGGTGGAACATGTCCCACGGCCAGGTTGTACCTCGCTGGCGG